GGGGGGGGGGGGGGGCAGTAGTGCTCACGGCTTCCTTGCCCCAACCCCCCAGGAGAGAAGCCCTACGCCTGCACGTGGGACGGCTGTGGCTGGAGGTTCGCGCGCTCAGACGAACTGACCCGCCACTACCGGAAGCACACGGGACAGCGCCCCTTCCGGTGCCAGCTCTGCCCGCGCGCTTTTTCGCGCTCCGACCACCTGGCCTTGCACATGAAGCGTCATCTTTGAGCCCTGCCCCAACACTTGGACCTTCCTGGGGATTGGGGATGGAACAAGAGCAGATCCACGCAGGGTGGTTTTCCCTCGGATGGACCCTCTCCCGGATTCGCAGTCTCACAGATCCACCCAAAGATCAAGGACTGGCCCATAGACAGACCTGTGGGAGCCTCCAGCCAAAACTCCCACACGTCCTCAGCCACAGGGAGCCACACAGAGACATCCAGTGGTCACACAAACACAACGAGACAACCCTCCAAATAAATGGACTCTCAGACACTTTGGACAGAGATACAGACCCTCAGAGAGCTGGACCCTCAGACCAGTTTACAAGACGCCCTGGGCAGTGGGAGTTGGGGGTTGTGGGGTGAGGCTTCCCAGAGACCCTGGGCCTAGCAGGGGACTTCACATCGTGACTAATGAAGCTCTGCATAGTGCCTGGATCTGCTGTGAATGGTTATGGGTCCTGTACCAATGCCCTTCCCAGATAAAGGTTCAGCGTTGGCCTGACTTTGTGGGTTTTGGGTGCTGGAAGACGGGAGGAAGCTGTATCCTCAGGGGTGACATTGGGGGCCATACACACCTTCACACCCTCATCTCCTAAACTTCAGCGATCCTTCTTGGCATTGTAGGCTTTGCCGCCCCTCACCACCACACCCCAAGATCAGGCTACATCGCCTTTATCTCCTCCCTTGAGCCCCGGTTATATTCACTGGGACCGTCTCCCGCTGTTTAAGAGCCCCTCGGCCCGGTCCCAGAGTCTCAGCACCCTTCACCCAGACATGATCCAATGTAATTCTTTGACTAGCTCAGGGGACCCCGGGAGAACATGTGGAATGAAAAGAGAGAGGATCAGGAGCACAAGCGCCCCTTAAAACAGCAAAGGTCACAAGAGTTGGACCTCAGATTGTAAAGCAAGAGAGGAAAAAATCCAAATTTGCGGCTAACCCAGGAGCCGGGGAAGGAATGGGGTCCTGGCGGAAGAGTGTGGTTTGAGACTAGCCCGAGGAGAAAGAGACGGAGGCGGGGCCTAGCGGAGGGATGTGAGCCATGATTGGCCGGGAGAAGAGTCGAAGGCGGGACTCGGGAAACCACCTGGCCACCGGGGGCGTGGCCTGAGCCGAGGCAGCAGGGGTAGCGTATCTCGGGTTGAGTGCGCCGGAAGCGGGAAGCGGCCAGGGGCGCCTGAGGGGAGTGACCTTCAGAAAGGAAGCACCGCCCCCGGAGCGCCCCTAATTGACTTTCAAATCTCTGCTTCTCACTTGGTGGGCGGAGTCTCCAGCCTCATGAGGTCCTGGCTGGAGTTCCCAGGCTGTTTGGGGAAGTGAAATTTGCCTAGGGACCGGCCCGGCCCAGCTCGTGACCTGGTGCCCCGCGGTCCCAACGGAGATTCCTCGACCCGAGCAATCGCCATGACCACGCTGACCTCGCTGCTTTTGGCCGCGCTGCTGTGGGTCCCTGTAAGGACCCTGACCTGCTACGGGGACTCGGGGCAGCCTGTGGACTGGTACGAGTGCGCAGGCGCCGACCCTCTCCCGGGGTTGGCCTGGGGGTTGCTGCACACCTGGGTGAATGAAGCCTGGAGTTTCCTCTCTTTTCCTCCCTCCATTACTGTCCATTCCTCAACTTCAAGGTTCGTCGTCTACAAGCTGCCAGCCGAGAGCGGGCCCGGGGATGCGGCGCAGAGCGGTCTGCGATACAAGTACATGGATAAGGACTCCGGGGGCTGGCGCGATGGCGCGGGGCCCATCAACAGTTCGGCGGGGGCCGTGGGCCGCAGCCTCCTGCCGCTGTACCGGAACACCAGCCAGGTGAAGGGGCTCCTGGGCTGGACCTGGGATGGGACTCCAGGGCCCGGCCTGGGGGAGAAACTTCACGTTGCCCCATCCATCTCCCCCAGCTCGCCTTCTTGCTATACAACGACCAGCCACCTAACTCCAGTAGGGCTCAGGACTTTTCCAGTCGGGGACACACGAAGGGTGAGGCCCGGATTGGGGCTGGGGAAGAGCTCTGATTTTCCCCAACCCCTAACCTAACCCCTAACCCCTGATCTAACCAGAGGGGCGGGGGGTGCTCTGTCAGACTCTGGACCTTTGCTTCCTCATTTTATATTAACATGGTCTTTCTTTCTGACTATGAGAATTGACAGCTGCGGAAAGTGAGCTAGCTCAGCAGTGATCTCCACACTGCCCACACCTTCTCTAGGCCCCCCCGAAAACTGAGGCTGTTCTTGATGGTACATGTGTTTGTTGGGATGCCTTAAACAGTCCTCCTGAACCCTGTCTTCTGGTTCAGGTGTGCTGCTCCTGGACCAAGAAGGGGGCTTCTGGCTGGTCCACAGCGTTCCTCGCTTCCCTCCACCTGCCTTCTCTGCTGCATACAGCTGGCCTCCCAACGCCCAAATCTATGGGCAGACCCTGCTTTGTGTGTCTTTTCCCCTCACCGAATTCTCGAAGATTGGTGAGTGTGGACAGGGAGGCAAAGTGAATCCCTGATTCCCAGGCCAGAATGTGGAATAGTCCCTCATTTTCTCCACCTTTGCCCTCCAGGCAGACAGCTGACCTACACCTACCCCCTAGTGTATGACCACAAGCTAGATGAGGCCTTCGCTCAGCAAGTCCCCAGCCTGGAGAAGGTGGTCAATGGCCAGCATGTTCTCCAAAGCCCCTGGAACAGCAGTGTAACACTCACATCCAAGGCAGGGGACACCTTCCAGAGCTTTGCCAAATTTGGAAAATTTGGAGATGGTGAGTCCGGAGATGGAGGGTTGCCAAACTCTTTTTCTGCAGAGGGGCTGTCTAGCGTGTCCATGGCTGAGGGCAAGTCAGGAATAGGGACTAGGACTCTTTGGGAGCCACAATCAAATGTTGGTAGACAACCAACAGACCTGGTTCACATATTGGTTTCTGGCTATGTGGTGTGTGATTTAACCAGAGCCTCAGTTTAACCCATATGAGAAATGGGGATACTGATAAAGGATTGTTACAAATGAAGCAATGCACATAAAGCATTTGGTAAGGGCTATAACTTTTAATGTTATAATTCCCTGGGTTTCCAGGAATTGACAACTGAGGAAACTGAGCTCAGAGAGGGGAGATTGGCCCTAGCAATGACCCTGACCCTGTCCATGCCCTTTTTCCGTCCTCCACAGACCTGTACTCTGGCTGGTTGGCAGAAGCCCTTGGCAGTAACCTGCAGGTCCAATTCTGGCAAAACTCTCATGGCATCCTACCCTCCAACTGCTCCAGGGCCCAGCATGTGCTGGATGTGACTCAGATAGCTTTCCCTGGGCCAGCTGGGCCAACCTTCAGTGCCACAGAAGACCACTCCAAGTGGTGTGTAACCCCAGAGGGGCCCTGGGCCTGTGTGGGTGACATGAATCGGAACATCAGAGAGGAGCACCGGGGTGGGGGCACACTGTGTGCCCGGCTGCCGGCCCTCTGGAAGGCCTTCCAGCCTCTGGTGAAGGCCTGGAAGCCCTGCAGAGAGAACAGAGCCTTCTTTCCAGGAAGCCCAGTAGAGCATGTAAGAGCTAAGGCTCAGGAGCCAGTTGGGACCTGAGTCTGAACCCCAGTTCAATGCCTTCCTAACTGTGTGACCTTAATTATGTGCCTTAACCTTTGACTCAGTCTACTCATCTGCAAAATGAGAGTCACAATACCTGACTCAGGACTGTTGAGAAATAAAAAGAAATTGGCGGATGGCGCTGTTAACTTTTTTTGTCTTCCAGTGGACGCTGGGACTCCAAGCCACGCTGCAGCCCTTCTCTCCCTGAAGGTCGGGGGGCAGCTGGCACATAAGTGAGACCCGAAGTAGGACCACAAGGACGGGTCCACCCAAGACTCACCTCTCCTCTTTTTGGTAACCAGGCCTGGAATTCCGTCCCTCAAGACGCACACAGGCAAGGGGGCTAAAACCCGATGTCTTGCCCCGCCAGGGGAGGTGGGGTGAGCCCCAGAAAGCTCACACAGCACAGACACACTTTATTTATATGTGTACATATGTATACAGGTGGCTGTACAGAGCAGAGCCAGCGGCCCCCTGGGCTACGGGCCTGGGGGCGTGGGGCAGGGCGCACCTTTTTTGGCCAGGCCTGCTGGGGGTATAGCGTCAGCAGGGCACCGGGAGGTCAGCCCCACCTCAGGCTTGGTGGCTGGGGCCGAGAGGGAAGCGGTTGGAGCTGGGGGCCCTGCACTGCTGGACCCATTCTTTGTGGAGGCTAGGGAGGGGGCCTGGGGATCTGGGGAGAGTTTGGGGGAGGTGGGCTTGGAGCGAGGCCCGCTCAGCGTGGTCCGCTCCTCCACCACCTCCAGCACCCAGCACTCCCGACCCCGGGGGACCTCAGGTGCCGGAGGTGCCAGGGAGGTGGATTCCTGCAATCCCTTGGAGTCTGCACCAGGAAGCTGGGGCGTCCCGGCCTTGGCCCCGGGACGCACAGGCTCTACGACAATTGGCACCGGGGGTGTGCCCGCCTCACCCGAACTGCTGCGCCTGCCGGTCTCATGTTCCTGCACCGGGCTCAGCGCGGCCTTTGCCACAGCCCTGGCCACCCCACCCGCTCCATCCTCTGTCTGCACGCTCTGGTGCCGTGTGCCACTGGCATCCCGCTCCAGGGTCCGGCCCCCGGGAGTTGTCGCACGGGGTGGGGTGCAGGCCTCGGCACCCCCGGGGGACTCCTTCTCCTTACTGGACGCCGGCGGCCTCGGGGCGCCCTCGGGCAGCAGCGGGTCCGCGCCCAAGCTCAGGGGCGACTCTTGGCGGCCCAGGCGACGAACGGCGACCTGCCGGGGTGCGCCAGGACCCTCGACGGGGGGCGTCTCGCCGTCAGATTCAGCGAGGCTATGTAGCGCCAGCTCGCCGTGAAAGTCCTTGCGGAAATCCGGGTGGCCGACCTCTAGGCTGTGTTTGCGCAGTGCGCCCTTCTTGTCCGCGCCCAGCGAGGCTCCCAGCTTCTCCGCCGACTGCACGCGTTTGAGGAGAGGCGAGCGCGGGGGCTCTGCACTCTTGGGGCGCGGGCGCACCACCGGCGGCGACGAGTGCAGCTTCGCAGGGAAGCTCTGCGTCGTGTGCGAGCTGCCCACCGTGTGGCCTGGCAGCGGCGGCGGCGACGCCTGTGTCGGGGACGGCGTGTGCGCCAGCGGCGACAGCGGGATGTTGCCAGCCGACTTGCAGCGCGCAGAGCGGTACTGGCGGTGCAATTTCGGCGACAGGCCGTGCAGCGTGCTGGGTCGGATGTGGTGCGACGCCGACGACGCCGGCGAGTTGGGCGTGCTCGAGGCCGGCGAGCTGCTCTGGGAGGAGGCGCCTGCGGACGGGCGAGAGGGGCTGGAGCGCGCGGAGGGCACCGCCAGGGCACAGCCCCGCCACCCTTCGCCGCCTGGCCCGCCGCGCGCAGGCGCAGAGCGTACCTAGGTAGGCGGAGTCGGGCGTGGAGCGGTAGCTGTGGGTAGGCGAGCGTGCAGGCAGCCCGTGCGTGGGCGAGCCCGGGAGGCTGTCGCTGGACGAGAGCGACCGATTCAGCGACGACAGCGAGCGGCTAGTGTGCAGCAGGTTTGACTGCTTTGTGATCTTGCGGAAGAGGGAGCTGCGCTTCTTGCTGGGGGACAAAGAGGGGGCCACCTACCCTTCACCAAATTCCGGGACTCCCGGCTTCTCCCACTTCAGGGCCGCACGACCGCCCACCCTTCCTGGCCCCTCCCTTCCCAGCTGCAACCCACCTATCAGAACCAAAAGAACTTTCCTGGCCGCTGGTCCCATTAGGCTCCTCCCGCCTCAGGCTCCACCCATTCCTTCCTGGACGCCCCCACCCCAAGCTAGGAAAACACTCCTCAAGACCAACTTAAAAAAAAAACAACAACAAACAAAAAAAACCCAACTTTTTTCTGGCCCGCCCACCTCTCTAGCTCCTCTGTCTCCAGCTACAGTCCACCTAACAGGGCTGGGAGAAATTCTCCTGACCCAATTTTGTTTAGCTCCTCACTCGAATCCCCCCTCAACGACGCGTCCAGGACAAACTCACTGATCAAAACACGACATTCTCCCGGCCCCGCCCACCTCTCTTAGCTCCTCCTACCTAGAAAGGAAGAAATTACCTCCCTTGGCCCAGTCTTGCCTAGCGTTCTCATTTCACCTAGAAATCCCTTCTAACAGCCCTCCCAGCCGTCTAAATATATCCAACAGGTCAGGACCATCCCCTAGATGGTCTCCTCTTTAGTTGACAAGTGCTGGCGCTGCCCACCTTCCAAGACGCCCCCACAAGGTTTTCTTTCCAACCTAGAAACCTGGCACAGCTTCCTTCCCTGGCTTCTGCCACTTGCCCAGCTCTTCTTTCTCTGTCCTCTTGTTTTTGCCACATGGCCTCGACCGGCCACTTTTCCTGGCCACTTCCCTCCTCAGGTCCCCACCACCTCCCACCTTAGCCCCGCCCACTGCACACACACACACACACACACACACGCGCGCATGCGGGTTTCCTCAGCCCGCTGTTTAGAGACCTGCCCACTGCATTTGGCCCCACTCACCTCTCCTGGCCCTCCTTGGCAGAGGGCCGCTTGTTCCTCCTAGCCATTTTGGCTTTGTAGCTGCTGCGCCGGGCAGGGCCAATGCGAATGGAGGTATTTTCGAAGGGTGTTGTAGTCACTGCTACCTTATTGCCACTCTGGGGGTCAGAAAGGGGGAAGTGCTCTGCTGGAGGCTGCTCAAGCAGCTCCAATTCCCCAAGATCTCTTCACCCTTCCCCCACCCTCCGGGCAGGGTGCTCCCTCCCTTGCACTCACCTTAAGGATCAGCTCGACGACCTCAGGATGCACCATGCCGTGCACAGGCTCTCCGTTCACGTGGGTGATGAGGTCACCAGCACAAAGCCCTGCTTCCTGGGCTGGGCCCCCCTCTTCCACGTGCTGGGGACAGGACACCCCGTAGGGGTAGGGTCACGGGATTGGTAACAAAGAAAGCTCCCTGAGCTTCTTGCCCCAGACACCTAGCTCTGCGTGCGCAACAATCCTCGTCTACAGTTTGAGCAGTCCCTCATCCCCGGGGTGGGGGGGACTTCTCTCCACCCACCCACCCCTCATCTTGGGACATAGACTCCAAGCACGAGCGCTCACCCAGACAATGTGATGAACACTGTAGACATCTGAGTCACCCATGTAGACGCGAATGGCACGCAGCGTGAAGCCGTACTTCTTGCCAGAGCGTTGGATGGTGATGGGGGAGCGGAGCCCACTGACAGCTGGTGAGTAGTCCCGGCTGGGTGAGGAGTCCCGTGAGGATGGGTTAGAGGAGAGAGATCGTGGGGACATGGGGCTGGCCAGGGGTGAGCTTCCATGGGGGTCCACTGCAGACACAGAGCCATGGTCAGAGATTGGGGCTGACTCAAGACACATCTCTCCCTGTATCTGCTCCTCCTTCCTCCCAAGGCAAAGTCCCGGGGTTCTCATTGGTCCATCCCAGAGCCAATCATTGTGGACAGGGAAAATACAGTGTTTTCATCGGCCTATCCTGCCACAAATGGAGACAGCCCCTCCCCTGCTATGTGGAACCCAAGGTCACCTGCAGGAATCATGACGGACAAAGCAGTGGCCGAAGCTGACTTGATGACTTTGCCCCCAGTTCGAGAAGGCCTCTTCTCTACTGCGGGGTCTCCTGACAGCTGCTGGTGCCGCGCCCGGCGCAGAACCAGGTCATTGGTGGCCCTAGGGCCTGATGAGTCCCCGTCCTTCGAGGGTGGGCAGAGGTCACCTGGGCGTGGGCGGTCAGCTGCAACGGAACAAGTGGGTTAGGGGTCAGTCCAAGGCCACGGACTTCTGCAAGCTGTTCCCTCTGCCTGGAATGCTCTTCCCACTTCTCTCTCTTGTGAGTTTCATGAAAGCAGGTGACATACCCATTTAGCACAGCTCCTGAAACACAGAAGTGCTCAAATACATTTGTGGACTGAGAATGGAACACGAGGTGTTCCCCATGTTGACGAGAATCCCAGGCTGGAGTGTGGAGAGTGGGTGAGATCTTGTATAAACAGCACCACGCTCACTGAATGCTCAATATATGGTCACTGGGGAATTGGGGAAGGCGGCGAAGGGGACACTCACTGGCCTCGGGGTCCCCAGCGCTGGGGGTGCCGTCCCCTTGAACCGCCTCTTTGGCGGCTCGCGCATCCAGCGAGCCTGGGGGGTCGGAGCTGGGCCGGGGAGGCCTGCGCATCCGGGCCTCATCCTCGTCCTCTTGAGGGGCGCTGAAGCGGCTGGGCTCTAACAGTGCAGAGAAACGGCGGCGCGCGCCCAGCGGGGGACTGGCCTCCCCTTCTAGGAAGCTGGCCTCAGAAGCCGAGAAACGCTTGCTGCTGGAAGGGGTGGGGGTGGGGGGGGTGTCAGAGGAGACACGCCCCTTTGGGCCCCGTCCCCCAAACCCATTCTGGTCCCTGCTCACATCTCCGGGGAGCCCCCTCTCCAGGTCTTCTCGCGCAGGGTCAGGCCTCCCAGGCCCTCCCGCTTGCCGGCCGCCTTGTCCTCTGGGCCCTTAGCGCTGGGCTCCCGCTTGCCGGGCCCCGCTGCCGCCACGGGGGTCTTGGGCTCGTGCTGCGACAGTTG